ATAAAATAATTATATAACAAGGTGAAAATACCTTGGCGATGGATCAGCCAATGGCGCGCGACGAGACGGCACAACGTGGACGCGAATTTCGGCAGCCACTCGATCGCCGTGACGCCTCGCATGTTACATCTTATTCGTTTCGTAAACCTCTTGATAAATCACCCATTCCGGGCTGGTTTTCCGTAGAACGTACGAGGAATGCATGAACATAGGTTCCTTCATTTCTGGCGTTCTAAAAGACAGAATTGAGAGATTGATTAAGTAATCAATTAAGTCTCAATTATCGATGATAATTAACAGCATACCTGTAAGCGTGCTTCCACTTGACCTTGTCCTGATCCTCCTTTACCTCGTCCGGCAAAACCTTCCTCACGACTTGATCCGCCATACTCGAAGGGAGTATTTGAGGCAGGAATTTCGCTTCCGTGTCGGTCAGCAGCGGCATTCTGTAAGAGTTCTCGTTGTAGACACAAACATGTACAGCCCTGGACAATAAGGTCGCGACACTTTTCTTCGGTGAATTTACGAATGCATAAACTCGCAAACATGTTATATATAATTAAAATGATACTATACCAAATGTTAATATTAACATCACCATTTATTTAATATTATTTGAGAAACATTAGAATGTTAAAAACCACGCGTTCATAAAACTTACTAAAAAAAAAGTGTCGCAATCTCATTGTTCACAAATGCACAGTCGAATTTCGGTTTTCTAAATTAAATCATATAAAAAAATCTAATAATCATATAATTAATCATCCAAAATCTAATAATCGTTTAATCATATAAAAAAAACTCAATCAAATAAAAAATCAATTAAGGACCAAGAATTTCCTTCACTCCAAAAGATTACTGAATTCTATATACAGAAGCTAGAGAATATTCAGAATAAAATTTGTTTAAAAGATAATACATATTTTGGATCAATGATTAAATTTAGATTCGAAACGTTCAAATTAATCTCATTGGTGAGCTGTTGCCTAAGCTTTCCTAATCTCGACCATGGCCTTGTGTGCTTGTGTCTCAAGCCGTTCTCCTCGCAGAAGGACAACAGTCGTCCCTTCGACCACGTGTACTCGACAGTTCCGATGGCTCTTATCAAAACCATTGGATCACCTGTGCATAGAAGCAGAAAGATTATCTCATTTATCACTCGTAACATTCGTTACGTAAATGGAAAATTACGACATCACGTACCGAGAAGTGGAACTATTGTCGGTTCCAGCCCAATAACGGCGCTTTTGCAGCCACTTGCTCTCAGTCGAACCCTCCATGTCGAGAGCCTCTATCAGTACTTCTTGCTCGCTAAGAGCCGCCACCATGCATATCGTGTATTTCGACAAGTTGTGCCGATGCGACAGTGCCCAGCATCTTGCCGTAACACGGAGACACCTGGAACGCGGCGATACTGCGTCCAAGTGGCGTCACCTTCGCGCAGTATATCTCTAAACGACGAACCAACAATTCTGTGCATTAGACAACGTAATAACATTTTAGATAAAAATAAAAGGAGAGATTCAATTCTTCAGCTACACGCTTGATCATCGACATCGCTGCCGCTCTTCTCGGTTCGGTTATCCCGATCAATTTATTTTGAGCATATTCAGCCTCGTATAAAAACTGAGGCACTTGCGTTGTCTTCCCTGCGACGGAATTGAATAATTAAACAAAAGAGAAGTCACTAAAAAAAATTGTGCTTAGCCTAATATTATCATAACGTTCTCCCAAAAATTAACGAAATCTGATATCTTTCACTGCTGTTAATTATAATAATCTTACTTACCACTTCCCGTCTCTCCCATAATTATGACTATTGGATTCTCATTTATTG